GGATACAGGTGGACCCATTGCAACAATGAGATGTACAAGTCATTTTGTCGAAAATGAACTTTACAACTTTGGTGGAGGGGGAGGATTGGGGGAGGGGGTAGCTGGGAAGGGAGGGGAAGGGGAACCAAAGGAGGAGGCTACAATGCTTGACAAGAAATGTACTCATTATCTTGCCCATGTAATTGTAACCCCTCTGTACAGAATTTTCACAATAATAAAAAAAAAGAAAGGGAGGGAGGGAAGGAAGAGAGGGAGGGAGAGAGAGAAGGGAAAGAAAAAAAGAATGAAAGAAAAGAAAAGAAAGAGTTGCTTGTGGTCTCCTTCCATTGGCCAGTCAGCTCTAAAGATAAAAATAAGCAAACAAACCCAGCTTTACATATCCTCTGAGTTCAAAAAGGAAATTAAGTTACATATTTGCATGAATCCAAAAAGGAAATTAAGTTACACATTTGCATAAATGTGTAAATAAATAAATCCAACCATCTCTGCCCCATACTATCCAGAGAAACAGATCTGATTTTAGTATATTTTGGAATGCTCAAAATGCTAAGATATCACAGAGGAGGAAATAATTTTCTTGACTCCTGATTTAGTTGTAAGCCAGAGCACTGAAGCTGAATAGCAGGGGAGCTGGGACAAAGCAGGGTCAAGCTGGTGCCTAGTCCTGCAAAAACTCTCCAGATACAAGAAGACTGAATAACTAGAAAGCTGAGCGATTGACAAGCAGGGGAGAAATAAAGACATTAAGCACACAGAAACAGTTGTGCTTGCTATTTGTTAGTCTCTGGGAAGACGTCTAGGAGAAAATAAAAACACCTTTGCTGTGGGATGCGCTGAGTCAGAGAAAGGCGAGTTGTAGGCCCCTCCCACAAGGCCACAGTCAGAGGAGTATTTTGAGGTTGAAACAGGACAGCTGCCAAATCAGAATGTGCCAGCCAGCGATTCGGGAGCGCCCTCGTCTGGAACCTAATGGAAGCAAGTTCTTCCTCCATTTATTTATGATTGCTTTATTTCAACCTCCTCTAATAAAATTCAAGACTTTTTTTCCCCCTATAAGTACAGGGGCTTTAAATCACTGTTTGCCTAGCGTTTTCACTTGATGCTGATACTCTACCGCTTGAGCCACAGCTCTACTTTTGGCTTTTTGCTGATCAGTTGGAGCTGAGTCTTGTGGACGTTTTTGCTTACACTGGCTTCAAACCTCTACCTTTAGATTTCAGCCTTTTAAGTAGCTAGGGAAATTTTACTTTTGGACTGATAACAGTATGTACCCAGTTCAGTCTATCATTCGGAGGCTTTTTGATTTCAAAAGGTGATGGATATAGAATTACAGCAACTATTTTTATTAAGTCAGTAGTGTATTTATAGTCCCTATCTTGTGCAACAAGATGAACATAAAATACAGAATATCTTCCCAATTTTACCACTTCAAACATTTCTCTTCGGTTTCCAGTCCTTGTACCTTTAACTGCCTTTACTGTGCTCAAATCAAGGTCTATAATGGGAAACCATTGGAATGAGAAGGAACCCAGGGGGTTCAGTAATGATTCTTTTTATAAAGTGACACCCTGATTCTGTATGCACACTGAGTGAGAGAGGGGAGAAAGTTAAATCTCTTTTATCCTCTATCAGACCCATTCTTCTGGATTTCCAAAGACAATTTTAATCTCCTCTAAGCTTATGTCATGAATAAGTCAGCTTACGGCATGCTTAATTGAAGATGATTGCACTGATACACTTGAAAGAACAGTCTTAGGAATAGTTGCCCAATTAGATGCTAGACTATCTATCCTCTATCAGTTAAGAAAGAGCACTCTGTAAGACTCGGGCTTCCTTTGGATTCTGTTCCATCCAGGAGGAAAATTTTGCTCCTTGGAGCCCTTTCTAAGATGTAAGATTCCCTGCCATAGCTTTGTGGCTTTGCCATATTGTATTTCTAAGATTTGAGAATAGCCCTTAGAGGACAACTCCTCTCAGGTAAAAAAAAAAAAAGCCAGGTTTTTCCCTATCTCCCAAAGCACATGCCATTTCCTCATCCTTTTTGCAGTCCAAGACCTTGGGGGACAATAAGAACCGCCACAAAAAGCCCAAAGACCCCAAGCCAAAGGTGAAGAAACTCAAATACCACCAGTACATTCCTCCAGACCAGAAGGCAGAGAAGTCTCCGCCACCCATGGACTCAGCCTATGCCAGGCTGCTCCAGCAGCAGCAGCTCTTTCTACAGCTGCAGATCCTCAGCCAGCAGCAGCAGCAGCAGCAGCAGCAGCAACAGCAGCAACAGCACAGGTTTAGCTACCCTGGGATACACCAAGCACAGCTCAAGTGAGTTTGGCCAGCCCAGGGTGGGCACGGAGGGCAGAGGTGGGGAATGACTTCCCTCTGCTTGAGGCAGGTGGGAATGAGAAGCAGCGTCTTGGAAGCCAGTGAGTATTTCCAAAGCTACGTCGTGGAAGATCTAAGAATGTATTCTGGTCATGGCTCACCATTCTGGTGCACTTCTATTTAGGGAAGAAATGGACTCGTGAGTCCACTCTGCTGGGTCACCATTTACATGATCAACACCCTCACCTATCTAGTTGAATGTGGCTTCTCTCATCTGTTTTTAGTCACCCTCAAATCAGACTTGCAATTGTGCTGCATGCTGGGTGCAACCATGCTTCACAAGTCAAGCAAGGGCATGGAGGCTTCCTTATCCCACGGCCTCCATCATAGCCTCCTGTCTTCCCCAAACAACGCTTGAGGAATAGAAACCAGTGGGGGAGTTGGGAGGGTGGATCTTTTGCCACTGGCCAACTAGTCTGTGCTGTTTCTCTTCATCCTGCCCTCTGCTGCTGATTCTAACATGGCGGGTCCCTGTAGGCAATTACTCTGTGGTCTGATACAAAGGCAGCTTGGTGTGTACCTATTTCTTTTTTTAAGTGCCTCTGCATTTGCTTTTCAGAGAACCAAATGAACAGATGGCTAGAACTCCAACCTCCTCTTCAACACCACTGAGCAATACCCCTCTGTCTCCTGTCAAAAACAGTTTTTCTGGACAAACTGGTGTCTCTTCTCTCAAACCAGGCCCTCTCCCACCTAACTTGGATGATCTCAAGGTAGAAGATTTGATACATTTTTAAAATTTTCTTTCTTTCTTTTACTCTCAATGTTGCCGCACCAGATTGTTCTTTGGATCTTTGCTACCTGATTCCTTCAGAGGAAAAAAATTGAGGGTGGGGGAGAAGTATATGAGAGAGACTGAAGAGGGTGGCGAAATGTGTTGCTCCTATAGACAAACTTCTCTCCCCCGCCTCCAGAGAATAAAGCTATGAACCCCAGCTCAACCTTCCTAGGCAGTGTGAGCTTGGGCTAGTCTTTATACTCTTCAATATCTGAAGTTCTCATTTGCATAAGGAAGTCAAGAAGACTCAAGTAGAGCTTAGCCCAAAGTATAGGTGTGTTATGTATTCATGTTTCTGAAATGCACTAAACCAGTGGGCAATTCTATGATAAACCATTTTACAATTTTTCTCTAGGACAGTACATTAATAGGCCCCCAGAATCTTCATTGAGCTCCTCCCTCTCATCTCCGTCCTCTTTGCCACCCTCATGCCTATGCTGCATCCTCAGTCATTTTCTTGAAAGGAGAAAGAAAGTAGGAGTAGGTGTTTTTCCAAATAGAAAGATAGTCCATGTCTCTTGAAGTGCCCATACCAGAGCATAAAATGGATCAAAGGTCCTAAAATCAAAGGCTTCTTTTTACCTTCCCCTAGGGGCAAAAATTGAACTTGTTTCAATTTGGCATTCACACACCTGGAATAAGATGTGAGCTTGTGATAATGTTCTCCAGAGCCGTAGGTTACCTGTCCTCCACTCCCCAAATCATAAATCCACAGAGATAGAAAGAAGCCTGTCGTAAGTGAAAGAAGCCAGATGCATCAGGACGAAGGCCACATCAGTCCAGGTGCAGGAGTAACTTCAACAGGCAAATTCTTACAGACAGAAAGTGGAATAAAAAGTTCCAGGATCTGAGTGTCTAAGAAGGACTATGGGGAATTGTTTAATGGGGTCCTAGTTTCAAGTTGAGATCATGAAAGAGTTCTGGGAATGGTTGGTGGTGATTACAAATTGCCTAAGCATACTTATTGCCTTTGACCTGTCTATTCAAAATAGTTAAGTGGCAAACTGCTTTAAGTAATCATTTTTGTGTGGGCCCTACCATCCCTTGTTTTTTTTCACTCAGCATGGTATTCTACCATTTGAACCATGCCTTCACTTCTGGCTTTTTGCTGGTTAATTGGAGATAAGAGTCTCATAAGACTTTTTTGCATGGGATGGTTTTGAACCATGATCCTCAGTCTCCTGGGTAGCTAGGATTAGCTACTCACCAAGGCTCAGATGCAATAAGAATTTTTTGTTTTACAAGTGGATAATCACTGGAAGGAAGTGTTCAGCCAGGAAGGACTGGAGGGTCCTTAGCCCCAGAGAAACCAGGGTACACATGTGCCGATGCCACTGGTCAGACTCCTGAAGGTGACTTCCCCTGGGTATACATGCTGAGGGTGATTGGCAAGGATGGTCATTAGGGTTCGTTGACAGACTGTGGTGATGGCAATGGTAGCCGCCATTTTTAGTGTGAGCTATAAGTCAGCCATTTTTGCTCTCTAGAAGGTTAGTTTTGTCATCCCAATTTAAAAAGTGAAAATAAAAATCAGAGCCTTATGTTAAATTATAGGTAAGTTAACAACCTTATAAGTAATATCTGAAAGGCTTGACCTATAAGACTGAATAGGCTTGACTTTCCGTGACCCATGGGAGAGTCAGTCCATCCTCATGAAAGATGAGAATGGAAAGGAAGAGAGGCAAGAAGAAAGTGTGCCTGATTTTATCTGTCAAGGTGTGTCCTGGGGAGAAATATCTCTGAGTCCTGGTAGAGTTATGCCAATGGTAAGATCCAGAGCCTAGGATGAGATGCTGGCTAGCAGGGATGATGGTAGGCCCATTCAAGTGAGGAATGTTGAGTGTGTCGGGGAGGAATAATAGCTGGACAACCGAGAGAAAAGCTAGCTGGTTTCTGTCAGTAAGAAATATGCCAACTTGGTTCATCCCAGCTGAGTGGCCAGGGATGAAATGGGAATTAGTCATGTACAATGTGGAGACAATGAAAATGAGAAAAGGGAATGAGATTGGAGGAGAGAAAGAGGGAAAGAATGGGGGAGAAAGAAAGGAAGAACATGGTACAACCATATTTGAGGAAGGAAGAAATAGGAGGAATTTATGAAGGTGACTCTCAAAAAAGAGTAATTAGAAAGGTAAGCTAGTGGAGATAAAGTTTTTAAGAATTATCTGCATTCTTTGCTGCATAAAACTGAAGAACACCAAGAAAATAGTGTGATTTTTAAAGAAGTATTAATGGTTATATCATACTATTTAGATTTTTTGCAACATTTCTGGAAATCTGGAAAGTAAGGGTGACGGGGAAGAAGAGACTGGGAAGTTTGGAAACTGGAAAATGTTTGGTATTAATAATAATTGGTTCATTTATTTTAAAGTGTGACAATGCTACCATAGCCATGTTTTTAAAGAACATTTATGTTTTAGAGGTAGCAAAATATTTACAAATAATATTATATGATTTGCTTCAGAACAATTTAAGAAAGGTAGAAAAGAAGTCGCTTGGGGTGTAGAAATTTGGACAGAAGTTGATTTTTGTTTAAGTTATTTGATACATAATGGATTCATTTATACTTTTGTACTTACCTGTGTATGTTGGATTTTTTTCTATAATATATGGTTTTATAAATTACCAAGGTAATACACAAGGGAATAGAGGAAAGAGGTATGTGCAAATCTTAGACACATACAAGCCCACACAGTCTAATAGTCTGAAATCCAAGGTAAATTGAACTCAACAAGTATTCATTTCATTTTCGAGTATGAGCTGCATTATTTAATAATGCAGCTTAAAATATTCAGTGCAAGAACAGATTCTAAAAATAAATAGAGAACTCATTAATTTTAAGTAACTCAAAATTTAAAACAATAATGAATTGCCATCTTGCCCTTTTCAAAACTAGCTAATCTAAAAACAAAAAGACAGACAGACAAACAGACAGAGACAGAGATAGAGACAGAAAGGGAAGTATTACCAGTAAAACTATGGGAAAACTGTCATATTGCTAGTTGATAAATTTTTTTGAAAATTTTAGCTGATTATCAAGTCACATGTATTTAAAGATGAAATATAATGCATTTAGAAATGTAAACTCTATTTTAATAGATAGTTAAGACTCAGAGGAAGCATACCAGATCATGTTTCCTTCTAGACTTAAAAATGCAGATGAACATATTTTGTTTCCTGATTACTACTTTTAAATAACTGTGTGTCCATAAATTTCTGACATGCTTTTTTAACACCTCATGAACATTTTTCATAACTTTTTTAATATTCAATAAAACTTTCATTTTTAATAGCAGCATATCACTCTACCACCTAGTTAGCATTCCACTCTTGGACATTTAACTGGCTGCCAGATTTTTGTTATTTAAAACATGATTTCAGTGACCTCTGTCCATACACTTATTAATTCTTCTGATTATTTCTCTAGGCTGACTACATGGGACTAGAAATTCCTAAACTAAAATGTATCAGTATTTTAAAACATTCTTGATACCTATTACTAAATTTCAGTCCTAAACAATGGTTCCAGACTGACTAAGATGCAGCATACTTTTTTAAAAAGCGCTAGCTAAATGTCAATGTCAGTTCTCCTAGTGCTAGATAAATGCTATTCTTATTCATTACATCTCAGGAAAGATCCAAGACTCAGCATTTCTAACTAGCTCCCCAATACTGCTGATGGGGCCAGTCCCAGAACTACCCTTTGCATAGAATGATAAATAATACCTTTGCCTTTTAAACATTTGTATTTCTTTTTTGCTGCTCATACCTTTTGCACTCAACCATTTCTTGGTCAGTTTCTCACTTTCTCGATCAATTTGGTGAATGGGAGCACATCTTTATTTATTTGAATTCCTTGAATTACTAATGGCAATGCACAGTGGGCCACATATTTAGATTTTATTTTTGTTTATGAACAGCTGGGTCACATCTCTAACTAGTTTTTTTTTTGTGGAGGGAGGATCAGTTCTGGGGCTTGAATGCAAGGGTTGGGCACGTTCTCTTTGCTTTTTCCCTCATGTCTGGTGCTCTACCACTTAAGCCACAGCTCTACTTTCAGTTCTTTGGTGGTTAATTGGAGATAAAAAAAATCTCATGGACTTTTCTGCTAAGTCTGGTTTGGAACCTCAGTCCTCAGATTTCAGCCTCCTGAGTAACTAGGATTACAGGAATGAGCATGGGCGTTCAGCTCCTATCTCATTTTTATATGATGTATCCGTTTTTATCTTTTTCATTGGTATGCATTTTGATATTTGTGTTGCAAGGCTTTTTTCCCCCAAGACTGCAATTCGTATCTGCATTTTTGTTTGTATCTTTATGACTTAGAGTTTTCAGTTTAGGTTGTCAATATTTTTATGATTGTATTGCTTGCTTTTATGCTAAAAAATGCAGATGTTCAGAAGAACATTATCTTATATTTGCTTTCATAGTCTTCTGTCTTCATGATTGTTGATCCTTAGGTTATGTTTCCTGTTCTGTTTTGGTTTTGTGCTAATCCTAGAACTTGAACTCAAGGCCTGCGCGTTGTCCCTAAGCTTTTCTGCTCAAGACTAACCCTCTACCACTTTGAGCCACAGCTCTACTTCGAGTTTTCTGGTGGTTAACTGGAGATGAGAGTCTCACAGAGTTTCCTGCCAGGACTTGCTTCAAACCACAATCCTCAGATCACAGCTTCCTGAGTAGCTAGGATTATAGGCATGAGCCACCGATGCCCAGCAAGGCTTTACAAATTTTAAGCCATTTGCACTTTATTAGGAAAAAAGTACAGGACAGATATTATCATCCCAATTCCCTAAGGATGTACCAAGGACCTCAGAGGAAGAGGCAGGGCCAGCCGCTGGCCTCATCCTCCTCCCCTCCCCCTCTCTCTCTGTGACTATTATCAAGGCATTTATTGAAATCAGAATCTACATGTCCAGTCCCTGGACCAGCAGCATAAATATCCCTGATCCTCACCCCAGATCTGCTGAGACAAAACTCCAAGAAAAGGGTCACAGTCAGTATGGTCATGCCCTCCAGGCTCTCAGCTCACAATGTTTCAGGAAGAAGACTTGGTGGAGAAACACCTCACCCTGGAAGCCAAAAGCCCCACAGACCCCCCCAATGCTTGCTTGAAAATATGTGTCTAAAGCCTGGCAGGCACTCACTTCTTCATCTACATAAACAGAGACAGGGTGGGTGTTAGAGAGCACCTGGGAACATCCCCAAGGCCATGTTCATTTATGCTCTACATTCCTATGGTTCTGAGGCATAAAACACTGTAGAGATGGCTCATCACTTACAAGGGTGGAACTTATGATGTTAGAATGTATAATGGTATAGCAATGATACCCAATCAGTTCAAATCACACTTCCACTTTTGAGTATTCATCTTCTCCCAGGCTAGCAGTAGCCATCCAATTTTCTCTCGAATAGACAGTGGTGTCAGATCTTAGTTGGCCTTGTGTCTTAAGAATGAACTGATGTTGCTCACAGTGCTAATAAGCTAGCACATTCAGTAGGTCATGTGTCTTCCATGCATTTTCATTTCAGTGATACTTTTACCTTATCAATGGTTTATCACACATTGAGGAACACAGAAAACCAAGAATTGTTTTGGGGTGATGGTGGCTCACTCCTGTAATCTTAATTACAACAGAGATAGTCCCAACCCAGCCTAGGCCACAAAAAAAAAAAGAAAAAAGAAAAATAGTGAGACTCCCATCTCAACCAGTAGCTAGGCATATGGTACATGTCTGTCATTCCAGTTATATAGAAAGCTTAACTAGAAGAATCATGGTCCAGAATGGTCCAGACATAAAAGTAAGACCCAATTAAAGAAGAAAGGAAATCATAAAGATCTTGGGAGGTGGCTTGGTAGTGGAGCAATTTCCTGGCAAACACAAGGTCCTGAGTTTAAATCTCAGTACTACCAAAAATAAACATAAATAAAAGTAGGCAAAACTCAGTTATATTAGAGGTAAGAGAGGAAATTGGAGCCTGGTGCTGATGGCTTACACCTGTAATCCTAGTTACTCAGGAGGCTGAGATCTGAGGGTCATGGGTCTATGCTAGCCTGGAGAAGAAAATCCACGTGATTCTTATCTCCCATTGTACATCAAAAGCTGGAGGTGTAGCTGTGGTTCAAGTAGAAGCCTTCAGGGGAAAAAGTTGAGAGGCAGCCAGCACCTAGACCCTGAGTTTGAGCCCCACTGCAAACACACCAAAAAGAAAGAAAGAAAGAAAGAAAGAAAGAAAGAAAGAAAGAAAGAAAGAAAGAAAGAAAGAAAGGAAGGA